ACTAATCCTTGAATTGAATTTAATCGACCTACATGTAAAATTAATCAAAAAGTAAATTAAATAATTAAAAATCTTAACTTACAAGCTTATTCAGTTGAAAACGCAATTTTTTATTTGATTGACAAAAAAGTAAATAAGAAATCATACAAAAATAGTAATTTTAACATTCTATAATGTAAAATTTTTTTATAAAAAAAAACAAATATTACTTCATACCAAACTCTTCTCTTTTAACCATTTTTGAAGTAAGTGATGTAGTAATATTAAGAGCTGTACCATGAAACATATCGATAATTGGAACTAAACAGAGAAAACGTTTTAATTATGTACAATATGTACACAATAAATTTTAACAAATTTGCATATAATAGTACTTACTTATATACATTTGCCAAGGTTCATTAGCAAAACAATAACTCATTGCTACAATAATATCAAATAAACAAGCTATTACACCAATAATTGCGTCATTTATCTTAAATCGGTGGCTTAAAACGGAGACCGAAAAAAGGGTTCCTAGAAAGTAAAATCTTATCACAAAATAATATTAGTGGTTTCAAATAAAAAAAATAGTTTGTTTAAAACTTACAATTTTTTATTGAAGATACTCAAATAAGCTCTAGTTTTACTACAAAAGAAGGATGATGTCAAAACTATACCAATTATATAAATATTATAAATTTCTATAGAAAATTTGAAATTGAATTTTGCAGTGACGTACACAGGATATTTTAATGGAGGGGGCTAAAAATTGATTTGGCTAATCGCCTGAGTTTATAAATATTAAAGTCATACACTGTTTATAAACATTACTAAAAATAGTAATTATATAACACGGATATGAGTGGGACATTAGCCTTATTAGTCGGCCTTTGTGTTCGCCACTGTATTAACACGAGGTTTTTTTCTACAGTTTAAGAGCTGCATTAATTAAGTACATTTATGTCATTTACAAATCATTATTCTTAATTACTAAATTTTCAATTTATTACGCCCAAATTCTACTTAAAGATTAAGTTTACATCATTTAAAACACCTTTCCTTTGTAAAATATATACTTCGTACATAAATAAAGTTTACCAAAGAAAATCATCGTCATTTTGAAAGCAGCAAAATAACTGTAATTAATTTCTTTCCAATTGAATTTGTACCTGACAAATAAATACATTACAGAATACTCAGCTGAAAAAATCAAACCACATTACTTAAAATTTCTAATGACATAACAAACCTAATTTATAAATCAAAAAGATAGCCAAAGTGCGTTTTATCCTATGTGCAATATATATTGTATACCACTGGTGGCATTGAGAGGCTGGGAACTAATATTATTTTGTGGTTTCAACATATTTTTAGTTAACATATTGACAAAATACAATCTTAAAATAAAAACTTTAATTTTATTTTTAATGTTAATAATATTATTCTTTAAATATTATATTAACCAAGTACAAAAATTTTCTAAAGTTAAATCNTATTTTTAGTTAACATATTGACAAAATACAATCTTAAAATAAAAACTTTAATTTTATTTTTAATGTTAATAATATTATTCTTTAAATATTATATTAACCAAGTACAAAAATTTTCTAAAGTTAAATCACAATTTATTACAATTTATACAATTTCATCGTACATCCATGAAAAAAATCTTAGATTCTTCTATTAAAGATACAATTTAATTAACTCATCACTTACAGCAGATGGCATTAATATTCCCAAGTCCGTAAATAAGAGAGTAATATACGTTGGATGTGTATAATCGACGATGGGATGAACGTTCGTATTATTTCCGTTATTTGAAGAATACTAAAAAAAAAGTTCAAGGTTAAATTCAACGAGAAATTTGTTTTATAAAACAAATATAGATTACATTTTTTAATAATGAAAAATAACAAGACAATTAGTGAACTTAAAGCAACAATAATTGGCTTATTAACAGAAATAAAGCACATAAATAGTAATATTAATTTAGTTCAACAATTAAAAAAAACAATTTTAAATAACCTCATTATTAAAATAAAATTATTATAAAAAACATTATAAAGGCTAATATTTGTATATATGATATTCAACATTTATTTTATTAAAAAAAATAAAATAATGATTAAAAATTACAAATATATAAACTTATCATTAATTTATTTATAACCTTAAGATCATGCTCTGCGTCCTTTTGACGTAACTTGTACTTACAAATAATAACAAATAGAAAGAATAAACCAAAAACGAATAATATATTATTTTCTTTAAATGATGCGTAAATCAGTCTTTTATAATAATTAATACTTATATTCTAACATATTTAATCTTTGTATATAGATGAAAATTAAGTATTTTTATTACAATTTAAACTTTGAAATACGCTTACCATGATAACATTTAAAATAATTATCATAAAATAAATACTCGTCATTACAATTATAATTACAATACATGAAAAATATCGCCATTTATAATATTGGTCCACAAACAATTTTCATCAGACAACTGTATTTTTTAAGCTAGTTTTTCGCACCGATTTCAAATATGCAATTAGATATTGTTCTAACTCATATAGTTTTTAAAATAATTACTTATTGATTTTTACAATGGTTTATAAAAAAATGGTATTATTTAAATTGATATGCGGCTAGAAACTTGTATAATTACTATTTATAAATTTTAATTTATGAAAAAATCTTAAAATATCGTCATAAGTAATTAAATAAAAAAAAATTATAGTAATAATTTTTGTGTAATTTTTGGTGTTTAAAAAGATGTTACGATTTAAACATTCATATCTTAATTCATTTTGTAATTATTTAAAATTAAAAAAAAATAATTTTTAATTGTTTTTACTAATTAGTAATTATTTTAAAAACTAAATGTGGTAGAAAAAATTATTAGATTTTTATTTATTAGATAAATTTTATTAGATTATAACTCTGTTCAGACCTAAAATATCTAACGTAAATAACATTGACATTACAAATCATCAGATAAATAGAAATTGAGGTCAGGATCATCAAGTTAATGTATAATATATGTTAACATATATAACATACCAATACTAACAATATCACACTATTGTATAAAGAATAAAATGCATTTTTATTCTAGCAGATCAAATGAAGCTTTTACTATTACAATTGAATTTATTTTATTACTTATTTCTGGTTACAATGAGTTATAAACTTTTCTATGTAATTAATAGTAAAATAATAAAAACATTTTTTCGACGTTCTTTCACAAAGTGTACAAAAGAAATGATGAACTGAAGTTTGAAAACTCATAATTTATATGAACTAAATTTTACATTTTGTTAATTTTTGAAGTTTAACAAGGGCGAAATTACTAATATAAACTTGCAGATTTTTTCTAAATATTATATGGGGCTTATTCTACTAAAGATTAAAAGTTAAAGAAAAAAACTGTTCAGTTCTCTCGCGGTTAATCGTTACTGTATCAAACTTTCGCTTTTCTTAATTAAATTTCCACAAAATATAATTGAAAAAAAATTGAATTAATAATTTATTTACAACCATTTCAATTAAATTAAGGAGAAAGTAAGAGATTAGACTATGGCTGGCGATATTTTCAACATAACAATATCGATTTAGATAGATTCCATTTATTAATATTTTAAAATTAATAGTTATAATTATTGATAAATCTATAATAATCAAACGAACGGTAATGATTAAATATTGTTAATGTAATAACAACTATCCAATAAAAGTTAATTATCGCAAATACAGAAATTACCGATGTATTGAATAAAAACGGGATTGGTGTTAATATCAAATATAGGTATGTGAATTTAAAATACCAACAGCCCTAGATTAGACTTACAAAATAAATAATGAAACAGTCAAGAACCCAACGATTTCCTTCTATAGCACCCTCGATCATACAATAAATGATACTTACCATAAAATTATCAGGCAAATCTCGCTGATTTAGAGGATATATTCTCGAGAATTTGTAACTTTCTGTGAGCACATAAAATGGCTTTTTGAACTCTTTCGCGCAGATAGCCATTGTAGAACTTCCAATCTAAAAAAAAAAAAATAATTCTCCAATAAATCATAATGTATACAAAAAATATTTCAATTTACTTTTACTCATTGATAAATAATTAATAATAATAATAATTTAAAACCAAACCCTCAGTAATTTATGAAAAAATACAATTAATAATAAATTTATTTAGTTATTAGTTGCCTCTAAAAGTTTAGGCTTAGAGGCATGTTTTTCTATTTATTAATGTACACTTAATAAATAAGCACGAGATAAAATGTTTCACAGGCAGTTTGCAACTTTTTATTAATTGATTCGAAATATTTACATTAATTCATCAATTAAAGTATATTTTTACAATGTATAACTGGTTGCTTAGTTAAGTTGCATTGCAAATTTAATTAGTTTTTCAGTACAACATGTAGTACAATAAATAATACACGCGAGCTTGTAATAACTTTAAAAATTATGCTGTAATATTGAAACTTAATAAAGTACGAGCTATTTAATTTGAATATTCGACGGCAAACTGATCAATTTTTCTTATCTATTAGAAGCCTAACATTAATCAATTCAAACTAAATGGTAAAGTAGGAAATCCGTAGGCAGAGTACAAGAAGATGTACTAGATAATTATAGCGAAATTCACTAGATTTAAATAGAAAGTAGGCGGACTCCAATTAAAAATCAATATAAAAATCCATTCTCATTCTACAATAATAATTATTTACACCGCTGAAAAAAAAATACAGCAGAATAATTAACAACTCGCTTCTTAATAATCTTGGTATTGGTATGTAACAAAGTAATTCGATTTCTTACAATATTATAATTGTAGAAAGTGTATAAAGTTGCATCAAATATGTAGAAAGGGATATTTTATCTCGTAAGTATAATTATTGGGTTTTGTTTTAAAGTAAATAACTCATAAATTATCAAATGCGACTAGATGACTAAAAAGTATACTCGCAGTAATTTAGTTCGATATTACATAAAAATTAATAATTATTATTAAAGCGGAACGAAGTATTTCTACAGAGTTTATTTAGTTTGATAAATAAACAATCACTCTAGTCGTACGAAAACGTGTATTTTATTTTAATTACTGGTAGTGTTGTAGTTAGAAACTGACTTGGGCTTTTGTTAGTTGAATTGTTTCTAACCGACTAGAAATCACTCCAAATATTTTAATAAAATTTTCAGATTTCAAACATTTTTTAGTGTTTTTTACATTAACTACAAACTGAAACAATATTTATATATTTTTTTTACGTTTTCCTTTGACATTCAAACGATGGATATAATAGCTTTTATTCGTCCCTAGTGTAAAATTACAAAACTGTTAATTAAAAACGTATTGTGCAGAGGCCTTTTATTTCTCCACTTATATTTGCACTAACCCCCTATTTGAGATAAACACAGAAAGAATGTGCAGAAATTAAAATGCAAATTGTATCACAGATAGCATGATGAACCTGGTACAGATCCAATGGGAAATAACATTTGCAAAACAG